GAAAAAAACCCTGGGAACTCGACAACGCAACAAACGCGTTGGCAGGTTGCTGGACGAGAATTTCGCCTGGCGGCAAAGCATACCACGTCTGCGATGCCAATCGCGCGGAATTGGATTAATGAAAAATACCTGTCGATTGTCAGAGCAATATAATCGAAGTGATCACGAATTATGCGCCCGTCCAAACCTGGCGATCACCGTGCAGCGATCATATATCTCATGTTACAAAATAAACGACGTGATGCGAGTCTGATATGAGGAACTCCTCGTGTGGTAATATAATTCGCAACGAACGTGTTGCTGAAGGAGGAATGTTCAAAAGGAGTATTTCACTCTTCCGGGGAAATGCATCTTTTGCTTTTTGATTAAAATTAATACAAACCAAGTCATCGTTCTTGTACGCAAGCTTTGCGTAATCCGCGCTTTGAGATCGGACGTAATACGACCGCGAATGGCTCGCTGCCGCGGAAATGCGCCGCAAAATTTGCCCGGCTGCTCGCAACTTTGCTCACGTCTGCCGCATCGATTAAGGAGAGTAAACAGAATTTATGTAAAGCGCGTGTATTCTACGGAATGATGTTTGCGAATATACACCGCCCTTCATATTAAGGCGGTCCCGACAAACAGCATTTGTTTATTATGGGCAAACGGAATACACGTATGTACATATTCGCCGGCATGTAAGACGCTCCGAGCGCGTTAAACTCGCCGTAATTGATACTCTTAACGCGTTAATAACAATCGCGCGACTGTACGGATTAAATTCGGATCGAATCCATTCGTAGCGAAATGACACGTGAATAAACGAGCAATTTCACCCGCGGCTTTACGTTTCGCAATCAAAGAGAGGCGGCATCAGCTTAATGATAATTGTGTGCTCTGATTACGTAATAAATTTATCGCAGTACATGTACGAAGGCTTTCTCGATGAACGCCGCTTCGCGACGGACAAACGCGCCAACGAATATGCCTAAAATCCGGCCCCGAGAAATTGCCTCCACGTGGCGACGTGGCGACGTAAAATATGTATAATAAGCGACGGGGTTGGATAATAGTTGCGCGATATAATAAACGTGGCATGTGGACGGTCCGCGCGCTATTAATATCCCCAGGAAGAAGGTTATGCGTTAATATGCATCCATGTGTGCATGCGCGCACATTTGTGTGCGCGTGTGCACCTGTGCATGCACGTGCACGCTCGCTCGTTTAACACACGCCGCACGAAGTGGACGTATTGTTAATACGTGGGTAGCACTGAATTGGCGGATAACACCTGGCCCCGATGCTGAAGGCGGCATTAATATGCCATGTAGAAGATAAGCGTGTAGTTAACATAGCGGCGTGATAGGTACGTGCATTTAACACCTCGCCATGGGGTTAAACACGCGGTTAATACATCAGCGAATAGCGGACCGTACAATCGGTTAACGTCGAACGCTGTTCGCGTATTTGATTTGCGTTGCGTTGTATAGAATTATTATTATTATTATTATTATTATTATTGTTGTTGTTGTTGTTGTCGCTTCACCCGCGCGCATCGCGTTCGCTTCTCCCAGATATAATCGCTACAATGCACTTGCACCAGAAAATTTATCGTGTCCGTGTGAAAATTAATCATAAAGTATATTTTATTTTCGGTCGCGCGTAATTACGAGAACGGTCGATACTCGAACTTTAGTGAGGGGGGGGGGGGGGGGGGGCAAAA